AGATCTTAAGTATAGTAGCAACTAGGAAAAATCACAGGTCGAAATGAAAATGTGTGTGAAATATAATGAACATTAAGTATTATTAATTTTTATTTTCTTTAAATATTATTAAGGAATAAAATATGTAAACTGTAAACATTCTTAAATTTATGTTGCATCTGAAACCTAGATACCAACAAAATACCCAAAAAGTTTAGAAAAAAATAAATACTATAAATGTACTTTGGGACAACATCCTTCTCTTGGAGATAAAAAGAAAAGAGATTTAAACCAAATTAATGTCTGAGGTTTTTCCTAGCTTTTATTTCTTTTATAATGCAAGAAACAGAAAACTTTTTAAAATTCTGTATTCTCAAAGCTAATCATTGTTGAGCGTGCCCGATGAGAAGTGTTGGCCTGTAAAATTTCTAGCTAAACATGGTGTTAGAACCCGTTAAATGTAGGCATTTGTGAAAGTTAAGCCAATTAGCATTCTCAAGTAATTTTATAAATTATCTGAGATAATGTCTTAAAATCTAAGGAGAGAAAAACCCACAAAACTTCTTACCTAACTTAGCCAGTATTAAGAGTAGATCTAGAAGTACAAATAGCAGCAAATAGTACAAATGGTAATAAATCATAAATTTTTGGGTCTTCAAGCTTACTAGAGACATCAACTAATTTTGTGAGTTTTGCCTGTAATTTTTGCCTAATCTTTATAGTATAAGAACAGTGCGTCCTTGAAGTCACCCTTGTGTTATTTGAAAATAAAAATATATTTACAAAACTCTGATGAAAATAGCTATTCAACAGTTATCATTAACAAACAGATGGATATCTCATCATACTAATTTTGTGAGTTTTGCCTGTAATTTTTGCCTAATCTTTATAGTATAAGAACAGTGCGTCCTTGAAGTTTCTTTAATGTTATTTGAAAATAAAAATATTGTGATTAAATATAAATCAATTCAAAAGGAAAAAGCTTATTTTCAATCTACATATGCTCTCCTCAACCCCTCTTCCATTTCTGATTTGACTTTCCTTTCTAACCCACTTCTAGTCCCTTCTGCAACCTCAGTTCTGTCGAGGATGAATTATTTAGTGAGTAGATTAAACTAAAATTGAATAAATAGCAACATGTGATGGATACCGATTCGGCTTATGCCCACAGGATTCTACCACTGTCACCTAAGAATTCTGACTGTATGCTGTCAGATCGCTTGTCTCCCAAAGTCTTCTGATGCAATTCTACAGCAAGCACCATTTGGATTATGGGAGGTTTGGGCGATGAGCACAAGACTCAGATCCCAAGTGATGCCATGTTGGTGCCAAAAAGTCACAATGGCTGCTTTCAATGGGCTGAGAAGCTCTGAGTACCCGGACTGCCGCTGAGGCTTGGGAAAGGGGATGGGAGTGAAGTAGAATACACGAAGGAGGTGGATGGCTCTGGAAATGAGGGTGAGACGCTGAACGCAGTACTCATCTGTTTACAACTCCACGCGAGCACAGGGTCCTGCTCAGTTTTTAATCATTGCTTTTAGGATCTGATAATCACTTGGGTTTCAATGGGAAGCTTACTATCCCTGTAATCTAGTGTTTACTTACATTAATGAATAATCCTTGCCCAGAATATCATTCCACACAAGGACTCATGAAGCAACGTCAACATTAAAGATGAGGTGTGTGGTTAGACAGTTGGGTGCTATTAACATTACTATACGTCAGACACATCAAACACCTCTTAAAATATAAAATTTTTATATAGTACCAAATA